GACTTAATTCAAATCATTTCATAAATTTAGTTCTTAATGGATTCCCTCCTTACCTTCCTTCCTCTTCTTCATGCAAAGTTGTGATGACAAAGGGGGAGAAGTTGATGGAATCTATCGCTTTAATGTTGATAACATTTAATGATGAGAACTTTTAAATGTGAAACTTGAATTTTTATTTTATCATACTTGCATTATTGAATTGTTCTCCTTTTTGTTGATGACAAAAGGGGAGAAATAATACCAAAATATGGTAAATTGATGATAAATGTATGCAATGTATTTTATCATATATACTTAAAATGTTTGTTTGATAAATTTCATTCATTATGATAAGATATCTAGAGCTTAACTTGGTATTTTACAATTGATATCTTGTCATAGGATGATGAATTGCTATCTTTATCATCTTTCATATTTGAAATATTATACTTGAAAATAGACATCAGGCCTTGACATCATTTTGATAAATACTTGGCATCGTATTTTGAGAATGTTAAATCATGATAGGAATCATGATGTGCATGTTGATAAGTTTAATGAACTTAACTTATCGGTTTGATTCTTAAATTCAAAGGTCTTGAATTCAAGAATGTCTTTTCTCAAGTATGACATATAGATAGGGGGAGTTAAGGTTAACTCTATCATCAATTGATTCTCATCATCAAAAAGGGGGAAATTATTGAATCTCGGATTTTGATGATTAAGTCAATTATAAATTATTTGATCTAATCTATATATTGAGAAAAATGTGCAGGATTAACTACAATAGCAGTAAGACATAAAGTAGGTGTTGTACTGGAGTCAAGATCGAGATCTCGTTGGGAGTTCAAGAGTTCGTCGGAAGTCCGGACGTTCGTCGGAAGTTCTGCCGGAACTAACCGAGAAGTCCAAGAGCTTGCCAAAGAAGCTCATCAGAGCTCGCCAAGAAAATCATTGTAAAGTCTAGGAGCTTGCCGGGAGTGCATCAAAACATCGCCGGAAGTTCGTCGGAAGCTCGCCGGAATCGGGCCGGATTGAACAGCCCATTCAGCCCTTGAAAACATGGTCGGCGGTGGCATCGCCTGGTGACCAAGTCCCCCAAGTAGTCTGGGCAGTGGCACCGCTCAGACTGGGCGATGGTACCGCCAGCAGTTAATATTGCCAACGGTGGTATTGCCCCTGTCAGGCGGTGGTACCGCCAGAGCTTGGTCTCTGAGCTCGGTCAGGCGGTGGTATCGCCCAGTGTCAAACTGCAGTCGGTAGTACCACCCAGTAATGGCAATGGTACCGCCAGTACCTTGAAAATCCGGGATGAGACACTTTTTAGCTTTATTTTTGAAGCCATTAAGGCTTATAAATACCCTATCCTTTTTTGCATGAAAGGGCACGAAAGCATTGGCATAGTCTTAAATTCTTGAGTCTTAAAGTATTGTAAAAGTGAGAAGAGTTCTCCTCCTTCATCTCTTAGCCTTGTAACCATCCAAGAAAGAGGAGTAAGACTTATAAGGGTTGTCTCCTAAACCCGACAAAAGGAGAAAGAGCTGTAAAAGGTGGTTGGCCTTCGCTTATTGAGGGAAGGCCATTAGTGGACACTGGTGACCTCGAAGAAGGAGGAATCCGAAAGTGGATATAGGTCACAAAGACCGAACCACTCTAAATTCTGGTTTGCTTTTCAATTTGTGCGAGTTACATTACTGCAAGCTACATTACCTTCTTACTGCATTCTCTACACTTCCATACACTTTCAAGTTAAACTCCTTACGAAACGATTTTTATCAGAATTGGTTTTAATCGAAACATATACTATTGAAAGTTGTAATTTTTTCATTGCACTAATTCATCCCCACCCTCTTAGTACCGCTCTTGATCCTGACAGGTTTTATGCGGAATAATTCATAACTATGAACCAAAAAATTGATTTTTGACTCCTTAACCCTACTTGTGTGTTCGTGTGTGATTTCAAGTGTATTCTAAATGTTATAAGTCATTTCGCAAATAGAAACTCTCGATTGAATTCATTTTTATCCAAAGTACAAAACAAAGCATTCATAGCTTAGGCGTTCAAAGAGAAAATCTTCTTCTCCAAGTCATTCCAATCGCTCATTGGAAGAGAGGACTTTTGAAATATGTTTTCAACGATATTCCATAACTCAAAATCCATAGAAATTAAGAATATCTTAATCCTAGTTTTCCAATACATGTAATATGTCTCATTGAACATTGGAGGATGAGTGATAGAATGACTCTTTTGATTACTGGCAAAAGCCATCTCTCTTGATTTTTAAACGAAATCGAGAGTAACTTAGCTCTGATACTAATTGTTAGGATCAAGAGCGGCACTAAGAGGGGGGGGGGTGAATTAGTACAATGAAAAAATCGTCGATTTTATAAAATATTCATTCGTTGAAAACCAATCTCGAAAAGTGATTGACTTTAGAGTAAATGAACTAGCAATTAACTTAGAAAGTAATGACAGTAATGAAAAGCAGAATGGAAATGAGCACACCGAAATGTATAGTGGTTTAGTTGTTGTGACCTACATCCACTTTCGATTCCTCCTCCCTTAAGATCACCGGTGTCCACTAATAGTCTTACTTCAATAGGCGAAAACCAACCATCTCTTTATAGCACTTTCTCTTTTTCACGAGTTTAGGAGATAACCCTTATAAGCCTCACACCTTTATTGAATGATCACAATACTAGAAAGGGAGGTGGAGAACTCTTTACATTTTTACAACACTTTTAATACCCCAAGACTTCAAGATATTGTTCACACTTTAGTGCCCTTTCATGCAGAAAAGGGTGAGGTATTTATAGGTCCTAATGGCTTTAGAATTAGAGCAAAAAAGTATCATATCCTTGGATTTCAAGGTACTAGTGGTATCATCACCATTATTGGGCGGTACTACTGCTTGCAAACTTACATTGGGCGGTACCATCGCTAAGTCTGGGTGGTATGACCGCCTAACAGATCTCGGAGATCGAGCTATGGTGGTACCACTACTTGACAGGGCGATACCACCTCCTGACAGTATTAATTACTGATAGTACCATCGCCTAGAGCACTTGGGAGACTAAGTCCTAAGCGGTGCCACCGTTGGTCCTAGCGATGCCACAACCGACCATGACTTCAGTTGCTAAATAGGTTAGCCTCTAACTGAGTTAGTGGGATTACCTCCTAATCTTAACTCAACTTATGATCTAACTATGATAATTAAGATATTTAAACAAGCAATCTCCATCCGGTATGTCAATTGTTCTCTCGGCAAACTTCCGGTGAGCTTCTGATAAACTTCTCGGCGAACTTCCAACGAACTCCCGACGAACTCTTAGCAAGCTCCCGAAGAACTCTAGACGAGCTTCCGGCAAACTTCCGACACATCGTCCGAATCTTCGACGTATTGTTCGATCTTTGACTCCAGCACAACATCTGCTTTATGCTTTACCACTATCGTAGTTAATCCTGCACACTTATCTCAACATATAGATTAGATCAAATAATTTACTAATTGATTTCATTATCAAAATCTGAGATTCAATAACCCTACTATGTGGATCATCGCTAGAGAGGAGGACGTTAGACCTCCTTCATCCTCTCCTATAGATCTATAGGGATCCAGGGATATACAATCTCTCTAGGTAACACAACTATCTCATACGTGGTTTTTAGTTTCGTAGATTTTGTTCACCAATCTTCGCACGACGATGAACACCTTTTTGAGAAATTTGGGATTTTTATTTTCTATTCTTCCGTTAAGCATGTGATGTCGCCCCTAGATTTTCCTACACTTGTGTTACCGCATGAAGTAGCACTGTTGCGTGTGCAGTGTCACCTATAGCCAAATCCTACCATTGTAGGCAGTAGTGATACCACTCAAGGTAGCCGCTGCCCACAATCGCAATTGTCACACACAGCAACACCATCATAGGACTTATGTTGCCAAGGCTATTGGACAAGTAGGCATCCGTCCAATCTTATGGCCGGTGACCAATAGAGACTACCACCCTTAATGGTGCTATCGCCAACAACAAGCTACCGATGGTAGCCCATCGATCAAACATGGACAGCATGCCATCCCCGGCTTTACTTATATAAGGCAAGAGACCTTGCATCACTTGCAAGCAATAAGATGAATGATATAGAAAAGCAAATCAATAACACATATGAATCGTTCAAGCACTAAAATCATGCTTTTGTAATCATGCTTTTGTTACGTAAAAAAAACTTTAATGTCAAGCACTAAAATCAAATAATGTGTATAGCTTTTGATATCATTTAGAAAACTTTTATCTAATCTACAAGTATATCATCATTCAATTTGAAAACTATAGCGATATTGATTTACAAGAATAACTAGACTTGTATTATCATCTCTTCCTATTCTTTAATAAGATAACTATAAATAATGAAATATGGACTAAGGGGAGACGAGAGAAGCGTTGGAATTAAACTTGTTCAAGTATTATAAAGAGGTTCATTTCATCAAAAAAAATGTTCATTGCATCAAGAGGGAGATTCATTACATCAAGAAGAAAAAATGGATTAAAAGTCTATGGAAGGATAAGTCAAATTGGTTATTGGTTCTTGAAAGGGTTTATTGAAAGAGAATGATTTATCTTAAATACAATTAATGTAAAGATAGAGAGTTTATGAAATTGTAAAGAGTTTTTTTAAGAGAAATATTGAAGATTGAAGCTTGTCCTACTCTTCTTCTGTTTGATAACTCCATCCCCTCTTCCTATCAACATCAACAAGAAGATCTATAATCTCTCTTCTGTATGTTGTCACGTCACATATAAGTCCCTAAGAGATTTCTATCAATTTATAGATGAAAGTAAATGGTCTAGAACAAATAATTAAGATATTCTTTTATGTTAAGTCATCTTCTAAAGAATCTTATCATAATTAAACTTTCTTTCTATTGATTTATAAACTATAGTCAAAATCTAATTCAATCTATTATATATCTTATCCAATTAAAAAAAATTATAATCTAAGAAAAAAAAAAAGGTGTACTAAC